CCATTTTTCGAGACAGGGTTTCTCTGTGGCTTTTAGAGGCTGTCCTGGAACTAGCTCTTGTAGACCAGGCTGGTCTCGAACTCACAGAGAATCCACCTGCCTCTGCCTCCCGAGTGCTGGGATTAAAGGTGTGTGCCACCAATGCCCAGCTCCTTCCATTCTTTTTTTGATAGAGTATCTCTGTGTATCCCTGGCTGTCCTGGAACTCACTCTGTAGACCAGGCTAGCCTTGAAATCAGAACTTAAGAGATGCACCAGCATCTGCCTCCAGAGTACTGGGATTAAAGGTATCCTTCACCACCACCTGGTTTCACAGTAACCGTTTTTAATATAGATGAACTGAAAGTAAATTTAATGCCCATTATTTGGGTCACAAGTTACTTATATATAAAATGGACAACTAACTGAAAAAAAGAGCAAGTACAAGTAAACAAGAAGTCAAAAACTATGTAGAGGCTGGCTGGAGATGTAATTTAGTAGCAAGAGTGTGTGCTTAGTATACACAGGATCCTGGTTCAATTCCCAATATTGAAAAATACGGTGAAAGGCAGTTTTGTAAAAAGAAAAATAAAAACAAACTCCAAAGCAACCCTGAGTATAATATCTGTTAGATATCAAAATAATTTCCAAATATCAAACGAAAAATCATTTACCTGTTGAATTTAACAGCCAGGCCCAGGTCAGCAATACAGCAACTTCCATTTTTCTTAATAAGGATGTTTTTGCTCTTCAGGTCTCGATGAGCAATTGCAGGCTTTCCTTGGGTACCATAAATTTCTGTGTGGAGGTGGCACAGACCACAGGCAGCAGAATAAGCTAATTTGAGTAGGGCTCTGGTGTCTAGTGTGGCACATTTCAGGAAGTCATAGAGAGATCCATTTTCATGATAATCAGTAATCAAATACAGCTGAGTCCAGGAGCCAGTGCCTTTAATGTCTGCAGCTATAAAACCTGTTTAGTGAATGAGTTTAAAAGGTTAGCTGTCAGCAGAGGTGCTAGGCAGTTAAGATGCACATTCAGAACACTTAAAAAGAACTACTTATTTTGTATAGACAGAAATTGTACAAATTTCCTTTAATTTGACCCATAAAATGTTTTGAATATGTAACAAAAAATCATTTCCTATGTCACTACATATTGTAGAGTCACTACAGATTTACAATAAATTTACAGTATTTTAAAATTTGTGTGTTAGGTGTGTTTATGGAGGAGAAAGTCAGGGAGGGGGGTGTCAAACCTTCTAGAGTCAGAGTTACAGGCAGTTGTGAGCTTCCTAATGTGGGTGTTAAGAATGGAACTCAGGTCCTCTGCAAGAACAGTATTTGCTCTTAGCTCCGGAGCCATCTCTTCAATCCAAATTTACAGTATTTTTTGTTTGTTTGTTTTGCAAGACAGGGTTTCTCTGTGTAGCTTTGGAGTCTGTCCTGGCACTCAGTTTGTAGACCAGGCTGGCCCTGAACTCACAAGATCCCCCCACCTCCCAAGTGCTTTGATTAAAGGTGTGTGCCACCACCGCCCAACTACCTTTACAGTATTTTTAAAGACAGGGTTTTGCTATGTAATCCAGGCTATATTCAAACTTGTGATCATCCTGACTCAGCCTCTTGAGTGCTGAGATTGTATGCATGTGCCAACACATATAGTTAATTTATGATAATCCTAACATTAATCACAACAGTGATAATAATGACTAAGAAAAAGAAGTCATGTATTACACAACAACCTGTAAGTACTATTTACCTACATGATTTTCTGTTGAACTGGCTCTTTACCTGGGAGTGGCAGCACATGCTTGTAATCCCAGTATTCAGGAGATAGAGGCAGGAGCACTACACAAATTGAAGCTGTTAAGGCTACAGAATAAGAGTCTGTCTAAAGACAACAAAAACAAAGCCTCATCACTGAACATCTAAATAAAATTTTTAATTTCAAGTTCAAAAGTAGATACTTAAAGTTACATGGGAAACAGATTTTTGTAGGTGGAATTATATTTACACAAAGCCATGCATGCTATAGACTGGGCCCAAATAAGCTGATGCATGTTCTCTATGATGGAAATATGGTCACAACACATATAGAAGATCATATGAAATACAGAAAGAAGGGTTGTCTGCTGTGGAATATTAGTTGAAGATGTGTTGCATTCTTTTATGTTACATTTGTTTAACTCTTAAGCTGTGTTACTTTGCCTGTCTAAAACACTTGATTGGTCTAATAAAGAGCTGAAAGGCCAATAATTAGGCAGGAGAGGGATAGGTCTCTCTGCGACTGCCAGGCAGAGAGAATAAATAGAAATCTGTGAAAGGAAGATCAAGGAGTTAGAAAAAGGAGGGAGAGGATATTGGGGGCCAGTCACCCAACTACACACCAAGCCATGGAGTAAGAAGTAAAGAAAGGAATACAGAAATAGAGAAATGTAAAAGCCCAGAGGCAAAAGATAGATGGGATAATTTAAGAAAAGCTGGCTAGAAAAAAGCCAAACTAAGGCTGGTCATTCATAAGTAAGGACAAGCCTCCACGTCTTTACTTGGGAGCTGGGTGGGAGATCCCCAAAGAGCAAATAGTAAAAACAACCAACAACAGTTTTAAGTCAAAGAACACTAAAGACTGGCACAGTTGAGAAGAAACCCCAGAGAGGGGTCCTGCCAACAGCTTGATTTTAAAGTTCAGGATCCTAAAACTGAGGGGGGGGATAATAGGTTATTTTCCTTCTGTGTGTGCACAGATACCCGTATACATGTGAGTTGAGTACCTTTGGAGGACAGGGGAAAGAGTGCGTCAGGGATCCACCTCTCTCCACCTTTCATACCTCACCATCAACTCTGATTATAAGCTTGCACTCTATCATTCTTAGCTCTTTAAGTGGCTTCAACAAGTGAGCCATCTTCCCACCCTGCTTCTGGTGGATATTTTCTTTTTCTTTTTTGAGGAGGGGTTTTAAGAGATAGGGTGTAACACTGGTTGTCCTGGAACTCAATCTGTAGACCAGGCTGGCCTTGAACAAAAGAAATCCATCAGCTTCTGTTTGGGATTAAAGGTTTGGGCGACCACACCTGGCCATACTTCTGGTGTTTTAAGCCACTCAGTTAATGGTAAATTTTTACAGCCCCAATAGGAAATGAACATAAATGTCTCATGCTTGGCAATGGGCAATGTTCTTTACAAAACAACAGATAGTGAGATAGCAGCTGAAAAGAAAACTCAGGAAAACAAGATCTGTCTATACACTCTACTGGCCTATATTACTTCACTACTATATAAATGAGGTGGTGAGAGGATCATGTACTGGGTACAGAAAATATGATGATGCTACACGTTGGGTTCCTCTGCTGACTAAAGGTAAAGGCAGATACAGTTAAAGTTACCCTAGAAAAAGCACTTGGCTTCCATTATTATGTACGTTCAATAAACCAGCTTTAATTATCCTTTTGAAACTCAATGCTGTTTAGAGTAATAAAAAACTTTCTTGGCACTCAGGATTGTGTTCTGGTTCACTATGAATTCTACTGGATTTCTTTCAGCTACATAAACATCTGAATTCACATGCACAAGGCAGGTTCTCTCCATAACAAAACACCCCTGTCAGAATGAGGAACTTACTAAAGTGAAGGACACTCACCAAGTATGTTTTCATGACGCATTAATACCGTCTGGTAGATTTCTGTTTCTCTAAACCAGCTAGCTTCTTCAGTGGTAAAAAACACTTTGACTGCCACTTTTTCGCCACGCCATTTACCCATCCATACTTCTCCATAACGGCCTTTACCAACCTGCCGAACCATCTGAATCTGTTTGGCAATAGTTCGCTGAACCTATATAGGAAAGAAAAAGTGCAGAATTTTGAGCTCTTGATGAAGCGA